TTAGATAATCATGCGATGTACTTTGTAAGTGTTCGTTAGACATTCAAGCGATGTACTGAAAACATGACAGTTAGATAATCATGCGATGTACTTTGTAAGTGTTCGTTAGACATTCAAGCGATGTACTGAAAACATGACAGTTAGATAATCATGCGATGTACTTTCTAAGTGTTCGTTAGACATTCAAGCGATGTACTGAAAACATGACAGTTAGATAATCATGCGATGTACTTTCTAAGTGTCCGTTAGACATTCAAGCGATGTACTGAAAACATGACAGTTAGATAATCATGCGATGTACTTTCTAAGTGTTCGTTAGACATTCAAGCGATGAACTGAAAACGTGTTCATTAGACATTTATACGAAGTACTTTCAACGTGTTCTGTCGACTTTCATGCGATGTACTTCCAACGTGGAAGTTAGAAATTCATACGATGTACTTTTGAAGGATTCATTAAACCGTGCGTGTCGCCGCGTCATCTGACGTCAGAATTCATTTAGAGCAACTGCTACTACTGCTGCTGCTACTACTACTACTACTACTACTGCTACTACTACTACTACTACTACTACTACTACTACTACTACTACTACTACTACTACTACTACTACTACTACTACTACTGCTGCTGCTGCTGCTGCTACTACTACTACTACTACTACTACTACTACTACTACTACTACTACTACTACTACGTTTATTTTGATAATTATTGTTGTTTTTGACTTTGGGTTTGGGGTTTTCTGTAAATTTTCAGTTTTCCATTGTAGTTGCTGTTTTAGGTGACCCTTTTTGGGAGGGGGGAGGTTGATTGGGGGTGGGGGTTAAGGAAGGGAAGGGGTGGGGGTGTCGGACTTAAAGATGTTGACATCAACTATTCCTGTGTATGTCTCCATAAATACGAGTACATTTTAAAACGATATTGAGCGCCCTCTCCGTGAAGCAGAGTGTGAAAGATCTGCCAGAAGAAAAATAAAGAGAGAGATATGAGAACTCCTTTGTCCCCTCTTCTGTCGGATTAATGAGAACAATCTGAGAACAATAGAGTGTAGATTTCTTCTTCTTTATTCTTTTCTTTTTTATTTGTTTCTGTTGTTTCGTTAATGTCCTTTATGTGTCCCTGGTGTATGTTGTAATAGAAGAGACGGGGAGAAGACGGTGAGTGTATGTGTCAGTCTGTGCGGGTGGTGTGTGTGTGTGTGTGTGTGTGTGTGTGTGTGTGTGTCCGAGTGTGTGTGTGTGAGTGTGTGTGTGTGTGTGAAAGAGAGAGAGAGAGAGAGAGAGAGAGAGAGAGAGAGAGAGAGAGAGAGAGAGAGAGAGAGAGAGAGAGAGAGAGAGAGAGAAGAGCCAAGCCCATGAGAGATACTTGAGGATGTCGTGTGTTACGTGAATTAGGCCTTGTCAATTGTCAACTCCGTCAGGAGTCGGGAAAGTTTGAGCCTATTCATTTGAAAGCTCGTCAACACTTCTGAGCTACTTACGGAGAAAAAAAAACGTAAATGAGCAGTCTCAATGTGCAGGCGTGAATTGTGGGTGGATGAATGCAATGTCGAACTGACATCTCGAACTTTCTCGGCAGAAAAAACTGTTGAGCGCAGGCTTGGGAAAGTTACAGAAGGTGCCGGCGTTTTGTGAAGATGCCAAAGACGCTGTGTCGGCCAGACTCAACACGCTCTGGCACGGACTGAAAACGTCGGTGAGCTCCGTTTTCCCATCAATGACACTCAAAATTAATACAGACTTCAACGTAAGTTAAGGACCACTTGCAAACACTCTGAGTGGTCTTATTGACTTGATGGTACTGCCTCAAGCGGACAATGTCGATGCCTTCTGGCAACACTCCGGGCCCCAACTCCATCCTACAGCCATGCCATAGCTCTGGCACGATCAAAGTCTCTCAGCTTTCGTCTCGGTGGCATGTTGATGCGATACTGGATTTAGCGCAAACGGCGGCTTATGTTGCCACCAAAATGACACAACTCGAGACCATACGTCCGTTTCTGACGTGCGCTAGGAATTTGAACTCAGGAATGTGCGGGGTGTCGCACACAAGTCGATAAAAAACAGAAAATTTGGCTAAAATTCCCCGAGGATTTCCGTGCTGCACGTGGTGGTTTTGCCCCTATAGGAAGCCTTGCAGTACCCATTGGTAACCCATTAACACTTTCAGAGCCAAAAAAAATTTGAAACATTCCTTGCCGTCTTTTTTTTCTGATAAAAAAAACAGGGCTGTCTGTAGGGTAACCCTTAACTCAGGTTGAAGTCTGTATATCGAAAATCGTTTCTAACAACAACAAATATGGCCGACAATCACCGCGCTTTCTGCTTACAACGTAACGTTTCCATGAACGGACCATCCACATCCGCGCATATAATTATTTACATTCGGTTTGGGCTTAGTGGAAGTACAGTCAGAATTGTTCAAGACGGCCTCCCACAGTCGAGGAGAAAAGTAGTGGTTGTTTTAGACAGGTCGTCGTCCAGGACAGTATTAGCATTATGAGATAGAAGAAAATAACACAAAGGGGTGTGTGGAGTGTGGTCGTTTTTTACAGGTGATTGTTTTGTACAAGAGGCCTTCAGTTCAGGTTTGACTGTATTCCGATTCGCCAGTTACGTTCAAACCTGTTCTTATGGCCACCTGTCTAAAACAATCCCCTGTACGAACGACCGTATTCCACATCCCCATTGTGATTGTTGTTTTTCCTTTAATATCATAATTACACTGCCCAAGACATCCACCTGTCTAAGACAACCACTTTTCTCCTCTTCTTCGGACACTGGGTGGCCGTTTTGGACAATTCCGACTATGTTTTGTGACGTAAGAGCTCCACCCATGCGCCCTCTGTCCCTCCGCTCGTCTGTGTCGCGCGCATACCGTCCCTCACCACTCACCTCTCACCACTCACCTCTCACCACTCACCTCTCACCACTCACCTCTCATCGTCCCTCATCACTCACCTCTCACCACTCACCTCTCACCACTCACCTCTCACCACTCACCTCTCATCGTCCCTCATCACTCACCTCTCACCACTCACCTCTCACCACTCACCTCTCACCACTC